TTTCTTTTCTCTAACTGCTTGTAGGATTGGATTTCTGGGATCTTGACTATTATATGTCTAGGTGTAGATTTTTTTATCATGGCTAGTTGGAGTTCTGTATACCTCACTTATCTGTATGTCCAGTTCTCTACCTGTGTCTGGGAATTTTTCTACCATTACTTCTGTGAACAGTTTTTTTTTTTATGTCATTGGTACTTTCTCCTGCTTTTCTGTGGACTCCTATTAGTCTTATGTTATTCTTCTTTGCATCATCTAGCAGCTGCTAGATTGATTTCTCATGGTCCCTTAACTATTTTTATGACATCTCTCTTTTCATGGTCACTAACTGCAATCCTGTCTTCTGTATCTGATATTCTGTCTTAATATTCCCTTAATCTGCTGTGAATACTTTCAATGGAGTTTTTAATCTCCTGGATATCTGTTTGAATCTGTTTCATGGATTCCTTTTCTTTTTTATGTTGGGTGGGCATGGTTTACATTTCTTTCTTATGCTGGGCATTCATGGCTTCCAGCATGTTTCTGAGCTCATCTATTTTTTTATCTGTTTCTGTTCTAGAGCCTCTAATCATGTCTTTCACTCTGCTCACCATCTCTGTAGATATCTGGGAGATTTTTCTGCTTTGAATTTTTCTACAGCCTCATGCATCTGCTTTGTTACTTTCTGTGCTATCAGTTCAGGGTGTCCAGGTTGATTATCAGACTTTTCAACCTCATTTCCCCCAGAATTTGCCTTTGGTGGGGTGGAAGTCTGAGTTTGTGCCTTGCTTAAATGTCTTCTTTTTGGTTTTGGTATTTCCTTGGTTTAATTCCTGGGTTGATACTTCCAAATTGCTTACTGTAAATATCTTTGTTGCTTGTATTTACAACCCTTATGGAATAATTGCTTCTCAGAGGTGCCTTCCAGATATAGCTGGTCTCTAGGTTTTGAGTCTGTAATGGCTGAGACTATCTCATTTTCATTATACCAGGATGGATGACTGATCAGATCAATCACAACACCTTAGCCCAAGTGATACAATCAGCAACAGCATAGATCAAGCACAGTTTAGAAAATGACAATTTGTGGTAGTTATTAATCTATCATTAAATCAAAATCAAGGACCAGCCCAACACTTGTTTATAGTGAATAAACTCTTCAATATAGCAACTTTACCCTTCAGGATGGGGAGTTAGAAGGAGTTGGGGAGGGAGTGATAGATAGGTAGAAGGATAGGGAAAGGTTAGTAGTGAGGCCAGAGGACACAGGAAGATTATGCAAACTCTAAGAAACTGTTGAAGACAAGAGGAGAAGACAGATTGAAAGAACAAAGACGAGAATAGAATAACCTAACAGCAATAGCGATGCTAGAAACTATATTTACTTTCCTTTAAAACTAATGACAGTCAAGAGAAGGAAAAAGAGAAGAAAAGAAAAATAAAGACGAAATCCGAATTACAGCCAGAACAGGAACAAAAAGGAAGATGAAGAACAATGTGCAGGGAGAGAACGAGTGAGGGAGAGAGTAAGAAAAGAGAA